CCCTCTCTCTCTATCTCTCTCACTCTCTCCCCCTCTCTCTCTATCTCTCTCACTCTCTCCCCCTCTCTCTCTATCTCTCTCACTCTCTCCCCCTCTCTCTCTATCTCTCTCACTCTCTCCCCTCTCTCTCTATCTCTCTCACTCTCTCCCCTCTCTCTCTATCTCTCTCACTCTCTCCCCCTCTCTCTCTATCTCTCTCACTCTCTCCCCCTCTCTCTCTATCTCTCTCACTCTCTCCCCCTCTCTCTCTATCTCTCTCACTCTCTCCCCCTCTCTCTCTATCTCTCTCACTCTCTCCCCCTCTCTCTCTATCTCTCTCACTCTCTCCCCCTCTCTCTCTATCTCTCTCACTCTCTCCCCCTCTCTCTCTATCTCTCTCACTCTCTCCCCCTCTCTCTCTATCTCTCTCACTCTCTCCCCCTCTCTCTCTATCTCTCTCACTCTCTCCCCCTCTCTCTCTATCTCTCTCACTCTCTCCCCCTCTCTCTCTATCTCTCTCACTCTCTCCCCCTCTCTCTCTATCTCTCTCACTCTCTCCCCTCTCTCTCTATCTCTCTCACTCTCTCCCCCTCTCTCTCTATCTCTCTCACTCTCTCCCCCTCTCTCTCTATCTCTCTCACTCCTCTCCCCCTCTCTCTCTATCTCTCTCACTCTCTCCCCCTCTCTCTCTATCTCTCTCACTCTCTCCCCCTCTCTCTCTATCTCTCTCACTCTCGTCCCCCTCTCTCTCTATCTCTCTCACTCTCTCCCCTCTCTCTCTATCTCTCTCACTCTCTCCCCCTCTCTCTCTATCTCTCTCACTCTCTCTCTCCCTCTCTCTCTATCTCTCTCACTCTCTCCCCTCTCTCTCTATCTCTCTCACTCTCTCCCCCTCTCTCTCTATCTCTCTCACTCTCTCTCTATCTCTCTCTAACTCTCTCCCCCTCTCTCTCTATCTCTCTCACTCTCTCCCCTCTCTCTCTATCTCTCTCACTCTCTCTCCCCTCTCTCTCTATCTCTCTCACTCTCTCCCCCTCCTCTCTCTATCTCTCTCACTCTCTCCCCCTCTCTCTCTATCTCTCTCACTCTCCTCCCCTCTCTCTCTATCTCTCTCACTCTCTCCCCCTCTCTCTCTATCTCTCTCACTCTCTCCCCCTCTCTCTCTATCTCTCTCACTCTCTCCCCCTCTCTCTCTATCTCT